TGAAATTTTTATTTTATCATACCTCGTTGATGGGTCAATTAAGACACCAAAGGAGAAAATGTGATTTTTAAAAATTTAGTTTAATTATGATTAAATTTTGAGTTGTTTTATATTTTGAATGTTGTGGCAGTGAATTTTTATCTTGGTTAATTTTAATTTTAGTTTTGGTTTTGGTTCTGTGGCTATCCTGATAGTTTTAATTTTCCATGCAAATTTGTATAAGCACAAAAGTATAGCATAAGAGTACAAGAAAGACAATGTTGTAAACTATAAAAAACATACTTGGCGAGTCTTCTTGTTCCACCACCTGAAACTCAAAACACATGTCAGGGTAGATTATATAGAGGCAAAAAGTCAGGTTTTGGTAATTTTCCTTACTTTATGTCATATCTTGCTGGGTCCTTAGGAATTTAATTAAGGATGATTCTGTCAAGCAAAACATATTAAGTTTAGTAGATCTTCAAGATATCCAATAGGTCTAGAGAAAGAAGCAAGTCCGTGCTACTCTGTCACTGCTTGGTGGACAATCTCAAGTTATTTTAAACTTATTATGTTTCTTAATAATTCATCTTATAAAACACCCTAATGCTCAATAAACATTGATGTCTCAATTATCTCTTAAAGTAAGGTAATTATCATCTGTAATTTAATTTTGAAAATTATGTGGGTGAAGACTCTTAAAGAGGCAAGTTAGTGTTACTGGAACACTTAACCAAATTTTGGTCATAATTTGGCTTGTAGTGTTTGAAAGATGTTTTAATTTTAAATGATGTTTACTTTTCTAATCATTATTTAAATGAAACTTAATTTAGCCTAAGTCACTACTAAGCCCTTAAGACCTAGGTGAGTGTCTTAATTAGTTTTGAAAAGATTAAGCTTTAGGTGGTCATAATTCATGATTTGAATTTTATTTGAAAATCAAAAAAGGGGTATTAAACTGATTAGTTATTGACTTCAAAAGTCATACCCCTAAGCTCTAGGTTCATTTTATTTTAATAAACTTCCAAATTTTAATAATCTAGAAATTTATTAACTTACCTTTTCATTTAAAAAAGTGATGTTGGTTTCTACCAATTAACCCCTTATGTTTCAAACATCCAAATTAGGATCAGAGGTTACCCATTTCCCTCTTTAAATTAAGCGCAAATGTTAATTAAGGCTAAATTTCCAAAACTACATATTTGCCTCTAAGGCTCTAACACTTCATAATTTATCAAATTCAATTCAAATAACTTTGAAATTTTTATCATACCTCATTGATGGGTCAATTAAGACACCAGAGGAGAAAATGTGATTTTCGAAATTTTAATTTAATTTATATGATTATTTTCATGTAAAAATAGCATTTTTAAAGGAAAATTCCTAACTTGATCAAGGTAAATAAAAAATTAAGTCATTTTGTTGTTTGTATTTTTGAAAATTAATTATCTTAGTGATTTAGGATTTGTAAAGATCAGGTGTATTTTGAATGCTTGGCTTTTGGGAAATTTTCTTAAGGGTTCTCTGGTCATAGTAAACCTTCCAAAATATGAAAGAAATTTTCTAAGCAACATTCTAATTTCCATGATTATTTTAAGAAAATAATGTACATAAAATTGAAAAATGAGACTCTCTATCTAGGGACCTCCTCTGACCTTGGAAAAATCAAAGGATGTTCCCTAAGATAGTGACAACAACATGTTAAAATTCCGAGCTCTAATGAAACGCCTATATGTATGGAGAATCAAAACACCCAAATCAGTGTTTAATTAATTAAAAATAAAATATGCATCACATGGACTTAAAATTATTTCCACATTATTCTCTTCTGTTCACTGAGCAAGTTGGTATTTTTAATTTTTTTTTTTGTAATTTTTCTACACCAAGATATGAATTTTTAAAGCTAGGGGTTATTTTTTGAATTTGTTAAATCCTTATTTATCTATTTAAACACGCATGACCACCTTAACCTACAATGGCTCCGAAGCTCCACGCAAAGCGCTCCCATTTGAAGCTGTCCTCCACCTCAATGCTTACTCGGCCCATGACTTATGTTCCGAAGCGATGCCCGGCTTGATCTCGACCGCCATCCGATACACGCGCGATTGGACGGCTCTCCGTCATCGTCCACAATATTCTAGAGCAAGAACCATCCATCTTCTGGCCTTAAGATCTCTCTCATTCCTTAACCAAATTAAGTGAAATTTTTTTTAAATACTCATCAAGACTAAAGGAACATATCCATATGGTTATGATGCCATGAAATTAACTCAAAATAAATGAAGATTTCAAATAGGCTCGGGAGTAAGAGAAGTTTTATACCTTGGCTCTGAGAAGTGAAGCTTCAATCAGAGGGTCTTAACATGTTTATTGGGATTCAAGGAGGCTATAGATTGAGCCTCTAGTCTTGGTGTAAAGCCTAGGTATGATTTTGTTCAATACTGATTTTGGGTGTTGGTCTAGAGCTATTGTAGAGGCTATTTCAGAATTTAATTTGATGGGGCTTTATCTTCTCTTTCAATTATGAAGGTGTGGGCACAAACAATTTAATTTTTGTGGAGTGTTTAGGGATTTCATGTTTCTGCCCTAATTTTTAAGCTCAAAATAAGGGTTACACAGGGGGAATCAAGGTAATGGAGTGATTGGAATGGGCTCTGGAGGTCTCAAAGAAGCTCTGTGAGTGATTTGGGAAGCTCTCTCAGGGAAAATTTTAGCACCTCTCCCATGGTCGTGGAGGTGAGTTTTTATAAAAATTATAAAAAATGTCCATGGGGTGGTTCTCAAGGCAAATGTTTGGGTGCATTGTGGTGCCTAGGTGGAGGGCAGAGGAGCTCTACAATTTGGTTTGACTAAGCTGGCGTCTAGGTTTGATTTGGGTGAAGTTCCATGGGGGTGGATCTCAGTTTTGAGCTTCTCCAGCGACTAGGGAAGCCGACGATGGACGGGGGAGGTGTCTAGGTGCTTAGGGTATCCAGAGGAATCTGTCAAAGCAACTTAATGCAATGAGATTTAGTTTTGGTAAGGTTATCTTATGCATGTGCATTTTTGGGAATAAAATCCCTTAATTTGGGGGACCTTTGGTCCATGGCTTAGTTTAGGTGGTTAGATGGGTTTTGGTTCAGTCTTAGGGTCTAATCCATGACTGAGGCGGAGTTAATTTGATGAATTTGGGGTAGTTAGGCCATCTTTAATGCATAGGTTCAATGTGGGTTCAAGTGATCAAAGTTGGGTTTGACCTAGATTAGCCATGTCAATTGACCCAATTTATTGATCAACATTTTTTAGGTGATTGTTATGAATATTTTTTGGTGAAGGGTTGAAGTGATTTTGAGTTCAATTGGTAGGTCA